CTGTATTAATTATGAAGCTGTTGGCCTTGCTTGTTTCTTGTTGGCTAGCTCTGATTTAAGTATTTAACCCATCTAAGTATTTCTCTTACCGGAGAAAGGGTCCGGACCTCTTACTTCTATGGCAGCTACATGGTGACTCCCTGTGTTTCTCCTTCCCAGAATCCTGCTCGATTCCTAGTCCCACCTATCTTGCTTCCTTATTGGCCAACAGTGCCTTATTCAACAACCAATAAGAGACAGATTTACAGAATGGCATCTCCCATCAGTGGGTGGCTGGAGAAAAGGCCCCCAGAACCCCCCCAGGCCGGGATCTTAAAGGGCAGCATAAGGGGAGTGTCTAGGGGTACACAACAGTCTCAGGATTGGTGCGCTTCCAGGTTTGGGTGACCTGCCCTGTGCTGATTGGTCAACTGGTTGCTATGGCCCATAGGCCCTCCCAGGGCGGTTGCTGTGCTCTGCACATCACTGTTGTGCACTTGTCTGTAAAACACACCCAGAGCTGTAAAGCACAGGCCCACCACTAACTTCTGATTGGTTCCTTGCCACGAGGAGGGCATCTGACCTTAGTGACCAGGACAGGAGGGGCATAGTCAGACAAGCACAGGTTAGCCTGTCATGGCTGCTAAACCAGGGGGCTGGTCCCTTCACTGGATGTGATGGTTCACACCTTTAATCCCAGTCCTGGGGAGCAGAGGCAGGAGGGTCTCTGTAGGTTTGAGGCCTGCTTGGTTTACGCAATGAGTTCCAGTGAATGAAAAATGAAAAAATAAGGACAAAACACTCCGAGATAGAAGAATAAAAAAATAAAATAAAATAAAAAGCAAAATGGGCGTGATGCTGCTAGGCACTGTTGAGGAGAACGCTCACTGTAGATATGAGGGAGAGAGCAGCCAGAGGCGTCTGGAAGAGTCCAGGCTTGGAAGGGCCTTGAGGGGAGAGAGGGCAACAAAGGAGGGAGAGGAGAGGAGGGAGCAAAGAGAGAACCCAGAAACCTAGGGGCCAAGAGAGCAGGAGACCTGCTTAGCCAAAATGGCTGGGCTGTACAGGCGCCTGAGAAGCTGGGGGAAGGGAAGGGAGGTGCAGGCGGCCAGCATCCACTTTGATACATGAAATAGGCACCTCAGTCAGTCATTTGTCCTGAGTTTGAGACCTGACATCCAGGTCACCCAGGGCTACACAGTGAGACCCCGCCTGGAAAGCATGGCATGGATGTATCACAGATTATTCATCAGCTGCTCGTCTATCGGAGAACATCTGGTTTATTTCAAAATCTGGGCCATTATGAACGAAGTGCCTATAAATATTCATTACAATTTTTCATTAACATAGCTTTTCATTTCTCTGGGGTAAAACCCCAGGAGTGAAACTGCTTCGCTGGCGTGGCATTTGCATACGGAAGACTGTTTTCCGGAGTGGCAGTGTCCTCTTTTCGTTTGCGTCAGTGTGTGTGAGCGCCTCGGCTCCCTGCTAGCATGTGGTATGGGCACGATTTTGTGTCAGTCGTTTTGAAAGGTCTGTAGTAACGTCTTACGGCAGTTTTAATGATGATGATGTTGAACGTGTTGTGTGTCGTTAATTGCCATTCACCTATTCTTTTCGGTTAAATGTCGCCTTGTTGATTTTTCTTTTTCCCCCGTTATTTTATTTTTTTTAGGATTTGTCTCACTTTTAGTTATGAGTATGCAGATTCATCTCGCTTTTAATTACGTGTATGTAGGGGAAGGGGTGTGTACATGTGAGTGTAGGTACCCAGGAGGCTTCAGATCCCCTAGAAATCTGGAGGCGGAGTTACAGAAGGTTACATTGGGAACGAAACTTGGGTTCTCTGGAAAAACAGTAAGCTCTTTTAACCACTGAACCTTCTCTATAGCCCCCTCTCTCCTTTTATTTTAATGTGTGTATGTGTGTGTGTGTGTGTGTATGTGTGTATTCACCCATTATGATGAGTTATACCTTCCTGTATGAGTTCAAATGCACCATCACTTAAGTTGGTTTTTGTCAAGGTTTTTTTTGGGGGGGGGCAGGGGTTGAGAGAGGGTTTCTCAGTGTAGCCCTGGCTATCCTAGAACTCGCTCTTGTAGACCAGGCTGGCCTCAAACTCACAGAGCTCCGCCTGCCTCTGCGTCTCTGGTGCTGGGATTAAAGGCGTGTACCACTACTGCCTGGCTAATTTATTTAAATTTTATGTGCATTTAATTCATAGATGGATGTGGAACTTTGCTTTTTTATTCATGATCTGCTACATTAATTTCCTCTTGTTTTTTTTTTTTCTTTTAAAATGTAGGAGTCTCTTGCTATTGCCCAAGTGGGCCTCAAACTTCTGGATCTAAGCAGTCCTCTGTCCCAGCCTCATGAGTAGCCATAACTATAGGCATGTGCCTCTTCACCCAACTTCTGTTTGACTTTTTTTTAATTGTAACAAAACTTGATTTCCTGGTATAAACCATGAAGCCTCATCAAGCCATGGCTGAGTGTTGCTACAATATATAGTTATCTTATACAGTTATTTCATAGTTATATAGTTATCTAATAGGGTTATCTCATATAGTTATCTTATACAATTATCTCAGAGTTATCTTATATAGTTGTCTCAGAATTATCTTATATAGTTGTCTCATAGAATTATCTTATAATTATCTCATATAGTTATCTTATTCAGTTATCTCATAGAATTATCTTATAGCCAGGTGTTGATGGTGCACACCTTTATTCTCAGCACTCGGGAGGCAGAGGCAGGTAGATTTCTGTGAGTTTGAGGCCAGCCTGGGCTACAGAGTGAGTGCCAGGATAGGCTCCAAAGTCACAGAGAAACCCTGTCTCAAGAAACCAAAATAAATAAATAAAAAAGAAAACAGAGTGAGCAGGCCAATCAGCAGCATTCCTCTAAGGTCTCTTGTTGGAGTTCCTGTCTTGGCTTCCCTCAGGGATGGTCTGTGATGGGGACATCTAAGTCAAATATTCCCCTTTCTCCTCAAGCTGCTTTTGGTCATGGTAATGGAGCACATAAACCTCAGTGATAGAAATCGGAGTAGGACACCAGGCAGGAGCTCTTGGTTTCTGGTTTTAAAAAGTGCCTATGGCCACCCATGGTGGTGCATGCCTTTAATCCCAGGCAAAGACAGGTAGATCTCTGTGAGTTAAGACTCATCTGGTCTACATAGTGAGTTCCAGGAAAGCCAGGCCTGTGTAGAGAGACCACGTCTCAAAACTAACAAACAGCAAAAGAATCCCATTTCGTTGAAATGGTAAACACTGTGATCCCATTTCATTGAAATGTAAACACTGTGATCCCATTTCGTTGAAATGCAAACACTGTGTGTGGTGTTGTTTGCAGTGACCATGTGGGAATGTGGGCTTGCATGCAAGACATGTGACCTATATTTCACAGCCTTGGTGTTACATGTGTGACGTGTGGACGGGTGTACATCTAGAATTCTGTTTCGTTCCTACTATGTAATTCCAAGGGGGTTGTCCTTCTGTATATATGTTTCTCTTATTGGTTAATGAATAAAACACTGTTCAGCCAATGAGACAGGAACATCGGCAGGACTAGGAGACAAGGAGAATTCTAGGAAAAGTAGGCAGAGAGGGCCAGCCAGAATAGTCTCCACGTAGGCCACCAAAGGAGTAACAGGTCCAACCCTTCTCTGGTACGATAAGACCACGTGGAAATACTTAGATTAGTAGTTACGGTTTAGTGATTAAGACAGAGCTAGCCAATAAGAAGCCCTAGCCACCAGCCAACAATTTTATAACTAATATAGCATCTGTGTGTTCATTTGGGGCCAAACAGCTTCTGGAAGCTCCAGCAACAATAATTCTTCTTGGTTTCCTAGTCTTACCACTTATCTGCCCACTGTGCTGTGTCTTTTCATAGAAATATCTCTGTTTCAGTGTTTTCCTTCATGGCTGTTTTCTCATTGATTTCAATTATTTTCTCTATTACTTTCTGTTCAGCTTTTTCTAGGTCAGGTGAGAGTCTTCCATGTCTGCAGTGCGGAAGTGCGGAGAAATAAACCCAGGACCTCAAACTCGTTAGGCAGGTCTCATACCACTGAGCTATAACCCCGGGCCCCTGCTAGTTTTTTTGTTTTGACTGAGATGGATAGAAGCATGGCATTCTGTACCCCATGTGGCTTCCACTGACATCACAGAGTATGGGGTAGCCTGGTTGCTGCTGGGCATACATAAAGTCGTACTCTGACACCACCCCAGAGGGGCAAAAAATGTGTCTCACTATGGCAGAGAGGGGGGTAATACGGAGGAGGCACAAGCTGCCTGCGTGGTCTCTGCCCTCTTGCAGGGATGGAGTTCTCAGGCCCTACACGGCCTCTTCCACACCACGCGGCCATGTAGTGGTTTTATATTCACATTGTACGCTCAGCACTGGCTCCACAGACCAGTGAGGCTGGGACCCAGGCTCCCCAGTTCAGCCTTTTCTAGCAGCGGTGGTATGTGAGCCACAGCTTCTCTGTGGAGTTTGGCTCCAGTTAGAGCCGTTTTCAGCTGAAAGTGTTTTCCGTCCTTGTCCGGCTGCCCCTTTTCAGGTCCTTGGCCAGGGAGAGCAGGCTTTTGTGGGAGCCCTTTTTCTTTTCTTAGCCTGTTGGCATTTCCAAGTTGCTGGATAGCTCCCTTCCAAATCCAAGATACAGTAGGCAAAAAAAGAACACCGGGAACTCACTGCCATGCTGTGGCTTGGGTCACCGCATCCATAGGTGATCTGTCTCCCTGTCTCCTCTCCATAGCTTAGAGCGTTTCTGGTTCTGTTGTTTGTTTTTGCTGTGCTAGGGGGCGGGGCCTCAAACCCCACTCCTGCCCATTATGTTTGCCTCTGTGCAACATTCTTGGGATTCAGTTGTACTTAGTAGGGAAAACTGCGTGTGGTTATTGACCAGCTCGTCGTTTATTCTGTGTGTGTGTGTGTGTGTGTGTGTGTGTGTGTGTGTGTGTGTGTGTGTGCGCGTGCGCGCGCGCGAGCAGGGGCGTCAGAGGACAGCTTTCTGGGAGTTAGTTCTCTTTCCACCCATTTGCCCGCACGGTCTGTTATTTCTACCTGGGCTCCGTGTAGGGAAGGCTCCAGCTGGTTCTCCCGTCTCTGGCTCCAACTCCGATAGAAGTGCCAAGATGTGAGCTTTGGTCTTTTCTTTCCAGTGGGTTCCAGAGTTTTAACTTGGGTTAGCTCCTCAGGGCTGCATGGCAAGTCCGTTCACCCACTGAGCCGTCTCTCACCAGCCCGTCCTATCTCCCCGTTCTCCCGTCTTTGACATACGGTTTTCGTGACACAGTTCAGAGAGAGAGAGACACACGGCACACCTGTTTCGTAGAGTGACAGTTGTGGTGACGTCTTGTTTATAGTCTAACAAATAAAGTTTGCCTGAAGATCAGAGGGCGGGGCTAACCACTAGCTAACCATAGAGGTCTGGAGGTCTGTGCAGAGAGACAGGAAGTGAGACTGCTGGGCAGAGAGGGAGTGATAAGGCGAAAGGAGGCAGGAGCTCAGTCAGTTTTGGCTGGGAGGCTGAGTAGCTAAGGTGACTGGTTTTGCTCTGATCACTCAGCATTTCCCCTTATATCTGACTCCGGGTTTTTATCTTTTATTTATTTATTTATTTGGTTTTTGGAAACAGGGTTTCTCTGTATTGTTTTGGAGGCTGTCCTGGAACTCACTCTGTAGACCAGGCTGGCCTCGACCTCACAGAGATCCGCCTGCCTCTGCCTCCCGAGTGCTGGGATTAAAGGCGTGTGCCACCAACACCCAGCCTGGTTTTTTTTTATTTTTTTATTTTTTTATTTTTTGGTTTTTTGAGACAAGGTTTCTCTGTGGCTTTGGAGGCTGTCCTGGATCTCGCTCTGTAGACCAGGCTGGCCTCGAACTCACAGAGATCCGCCTGCCTCTGCCTCCCGAGTGCTGGGATTAAAGGCGTGCGCCACCAACGCCCGGCTTTTATTATTAAGACTTATTATTAGCACTCATGTTACATGTGCCTAAACTAAGTCTCAGGGCCAGAGTTTGTTACAAGGAAGGCTAAGAAAGGTAACACTTATTCTGAGTGGCCATATGGCCATGTAATGGTTAGTTTTACTACAGAAATAGAAGTATCTGTTCCAAGAGTAGGGATCAAGCCAGTCATGGCAGTTCGTACTGGTAATCCCAGCACTTGGGAGGCTGAGGCACGAGGAGCAGGTTCAAGGCCAGCCTGGGTTACGTGGCTGTTATAGAGAGTTTGATGTCACCCACCAGCAGGCTGGCAATCCTTTAGAGACTCCAAATAAGTGTGGTTGGAACCATGAGCACTAGAGACTAGTGTTCAACTCAATTCAGATTCCAAAGTGATTAACTCTGCCATGGGGGGGTGTGGGGAGATAAATAGTATGGCAAAGAGATTGCAAGTAAATAGCATGCCCTTGACGGGGAAAGTGAAAACAAGAAAGCAAAGCCCACCCACTTTGCCAAGGTATCAAGTTAAGGCTATCAGAAACCCAGGCTTCCTAATGCTAGCGGAGATCCCAGTAACCAATGCACTGACGTTCCTTAATACCCCCTCAGAAGACAGAGGAGGATACACATCTGAAAAGTCTTGGTTATAGCATGCAATGTGATAACCATCCTAAAAAAACAAAACAAAACAAAATTCAAGGTTCATCATTTCATCTACCTATTTGCCAAGACACAGGGGTCTAATGACTTAATAGCCATCTATGAAATTTACCCAAGTAAAATCCCGTCTGATGAGGGGCTAGGCACACACCCAGGTTGGTAGATAGCTTGCTTAGTTTAGAATGCACAGAACCCGGGGCTGGAGAGATGGCTCAGTGACTTGGAGCACTGGCTGCTCTTCCAAAGGCCCCAGGTGCAATTCCCAGCACTCGCATGGCAGCTCACAACTGTCTGTAACTCCTGTTCCAGGGGATCTGACACCTTCACACAGACATATGTGCAGTCAAAACACCAATGCACATAAAATAAAAATAAATTAAAAAAAAGAATGCACAAAACTCTCAGTTCCATCTCTAGCAACACACAAGCCAGGACTAGGGACACATAGTCATAATTCCAACATTAGAATTTGAGAGAGCAGGCAGGAGGATCAAAAGTACAAGGTTATCCTCAGTTACATTGTAGCTAGCCTGTTTCAGAAACAAAAACAAAATAAACAGTTGGGGAGACCACATTAGGAAGAATGTCATTTGTTTGAGACCAGGTTAGGGTTAGGTGTTCTCTCTCTCTCTCTCTCTCTCTCTCTCTCTCTCTCTCTCTCTCTCTCTCTCTCTCTCTCTCTCTCTCTCTCTCTCGTGTGTGTGTGTGTTGGCTGTCCTCTCAAATGTAGTTCAGTTGTAGCCAAGGAAGCCAAGGAAGATGAGGTTCAGGGAAGACCATGCCAGTGGATGACTCCAAGGACCATAGAACACGGCAATAGAAAATTCCTCCCAGAGAATACAACTACTGCCCAATGGAGTGTATGAAGTAAAGAAAGGTATACAGAAATAGAGAAAGACAAAAGCCTAGAGACATAAAATAGATGGGGTGATGCTAAGTTAAGGAAAGCTGGCTAGAAGCAAGCTAAGACCAGGCATAAATAAGAACCAGTCCCCATGTGTGATTTATTTGAGAGCCAAAGAGTCAAAACAAGCAACAACATTTTGGCGTTCCAATGTGGGGCTAGAGTAAAAGAAAAAACTAGCAACACTTAGCAACGAAATTAGACCTAAAGGAATGAAAATTTGGTCCCACCATACTTTCTTTCAACACTTTCCAATCTAGGCAACAAAAGCAAAACTTCAAAATAATCCAATATATTTTATTTACTTCTCATCAGTGGTAAATTAGTTTGAAAAAAAATCGTAAAATGGCAGCAATGACAATTGTATATTGTCCTAAATATAGACTTAATTATCATACAGTAAAGCCAAAGCAAGCAGAAAGTCAGGTTTGGAAATCTAGTCCGGCGAAATGTTCCATTCACCAGTTCACGAATGATTAAAGAACCAATTGCAGGGGCTGGCGAGACAGCTCAGTGGTTAAGAGCACTGACTGTTCTTGCAGAGACCTGGGTACCGCTCCCAGCAGCCACCTATTGACTCACAACCACCGGTAATTCCAGTTCCAGGTGGTCCAATGCCCTCTTCTGACCTTTGCATGCATGGAGGGAAAACACTCATACAATTAAATTAAATTAAATTAAATTAGGGCTTGGAGAGATGGCTCAGTGGATAAGAGCACCGCCTGCTCCTCCAGAGGACCAGGGTTCAGTTCCCAGCACCCACATGGCAGCTCACAACTGTCTGCTCCAGGGGATTCAATACCCTCATATATGGACACATGCAGGCCAAAACACCAATACACATAAAATAAAAAAGTAATACATCATTTTTAAAAATAAGTTAAATTAGTTTAAAAAAGAAAAATCCAGTTGTAGATGCTGCACAGACTTCCAGTAATCTCTAGGTGCTCTGTATGCTGAAAGAGAACCATGATAACCAATTTTATGGTTTAAAAAGAATTGCAAGATCCATATATAGACACAGATAGACAGATAGACAGACAGACAGACAGACAGATAGGTATAGAACCTTTTTTCTTCTTTTCTTTTTTTAAGATAAGGTCTCATGGAGCTGAGCTGGCTTTGAACTCTATTTATTTTATACTTTTATTTGTTTGTGGGGGTGGGGAGGCGCACATGTCATAGCACATGTATGGAGGTCAGAGGACAACATTTGGGAGTTGTCCTCTCCATCAACTCCGTGAGTCCAGAGGATTGACCTTGGGTCATCGGGGTTTGGCAGCAGCAGCCTTTGTAAGACAGTTCTAATAGGTTCTTAATAATAAAAACCCAGAGTCAGATGTTGGGGTAAATACTCCAAGATGAGGGAATAAAGGAGCAGCCACAAGAGAGACTCCTTTCCTCTACAGAATCCTCAGACCAAAGGAGCGATCCTGGCCCTGTGAACCCTCACACTGAATTCGATGAACTCCTGTCTCCTCCCGCCTTATATTCTTCTCTTTACCCGGACATATCACTCCTGTCTCCACCTCCCAAGTACTGGGATCAAAGGTGCGAGCCACCACCACCCGCCTCTGTCTCTCTCTGTGGGGATACCAGACCTTGAGCAGAGACCCACTTCCCCTTCTGCCTGGGAGTAGGCAGCTGTAAGACAATGTTTACTAAAAACAATACAATGCCCGGGGGCAATAAGTTCCTGGAAAAGGCCTGCCCACAGAAACCACCCTGACCTCGACCTTGTCCAAAGACTAACTGCCTCTTCTGCCACGCCCAGATCAGTTTTTGGTGTCAGAGCAGAACCAGCCAGGGTAGAGAGGAGAGCAGAAGCTTCTCTGGTGGGAGCCTTTCTTAGGAAGTTTTCTTGAACCTTTTTGGAGCCTGTTTAAAGTTTTCTTTACATCGTTGAACAAGTCTTTGTGTTGTCAATCCCCGACACCCTCCGCACGTTCTCGGACACAGGCTGCGCAGCAGACGGCGACATCTCTCTCTCTCTCTCTTTTTTTTTTTTTTTTTTTTTTGGTTTTTAAGAGACAGGGTTTCTCTGTATTGTTTTGGAGACTATCAGTCCAGCCCGGCCTCGAACTCACAAAGATCCACCTGCCTCTGCCTCCCGAGTGCTGGGATTAAAAGTGTGCGCCACCACTGTCTGACCTCTAAAGGCTAACTAGTGTAGCTAGCTCTGTGCTCTGATCTGCAGGCAAGCTTTATTTGTTAGATCACAAGCAGAAAGAATATCACCGCAAACCTTTACCCACTGAGTCATCTTGCCGCCACCGCCAGTAAGCGTTTCGGGATGGGTCGGGACAGGATGGAACAGGAGTGGGTCAGGTATTCTGGCACTCGGGAGTCACAGAATACTCAGTGTTACACAGCTGAGGTGGAAAGGTATCCTGGAGCTCGGGAGCCAAGGACCACCACAGGTTGCAGTAAGCTTGGCAGCTTACAGCCTTGCCTCAGAGAAAGGCTTCTCCGGTGTATCAGCTCCACTCTGGCAGGACAGGGTCTTCCAGCTGGGGATGTTCACCTAGTGTAGCAGTTTTCTTGGCAGGTTTCTCGGGGAAAGTTGCTACAGTTCAGCTCTGCTCCTGGAGAACTGAGAGCAGGGAGTAGCAGAGTGAAAAAACTCTGCTCTGCGGAGGAAGGTTTCCTGGGCAAGTGTTACAGGGCTGCTCGCTCTGCTCTGCTCTGCTCTGCCCAGGGTCGCCTCTGCTTGCTCTGCTCTGCTCTGCTCTGTCGCCGCCGCAAAAGATCTCCACCCAAAGGTCATCCAAAGGGGTTTATTGAAAGTTCAGCCAAGCTGAACATACACAGGGTTTATATAGGGATTCTTGGGGGCGGGGAAGTTTTTCCAGAGTAGGGATTGGTCCAATTTCAGTGCTGAGCTCAGATTGGCTAAAGCTCTGCTCTGCGATTGGTTACTTTTTTACACAGGATTAGGGTCAGATTTGGCTCTGGTTTCAGGGCCAAAGTGTATTTCTTTCTCTGGTCCTTTTTAGCCTTTTGGCTCCAATTTTAGGGCCAGGGTGCATTTCTTTCACTGACTCTGGTTCCAGGGACAAAGTGTGTTCCTTTGGCACTGGTTTTAGGGTCAGGGTATATTTCTTTGGTTCTGGTTGCAGGGCCAAAGTGTGTTTCTTTGGCTCTGCTCAGGGTGTGTTTCTTTGACTGGTCCCTTTTCCCTACACCGCCCAAGTGCTGGGATTACAGGAATGGAAGACCACACTCAACTCATTTCAACCATCTTTATACTGTCAGTGTTCAACTGTTACAAGAGTAGTGGAATACAATGAATTGAAAGTTTGGAGAGAACTACCAAGTCCTTTTGTTTCCTTCTAGACTTCTCGTGACCAGTACAGAGGTTGAGCTTTGCTAAGGAACGTGAGACAGGAATGGACTCTTCTCACACGGGGCTGCAAATGGCCACTTGACACTCATGTTTGTGAGCAGTACTGGGGCACAGCCTTGCGTATTCCTTTTTGCAGAAAAAAAAAATTTAATCCCAGAGAAATCCTTGGTCATCTCATAAGCAGCAGGAGCTGTGACTCTGTTGAAAGCTGCATGTTACGATGGGCAAAGTCCTGGACTCCATTCCCAGCACAAAGGAGTAAACTCGGGTACTTGGGAGGCTGAAGCAAAAATGGTTTCTTGAGCCTGGGAGTTCAAGGTCAGCCTAGGCAACACAGTGAGAGCCCCCCCCCATCTCAGAAAAACAAAAGCAAAGCAAACGTTTCTATTCTCTGTGGCCGGCTTAATAAATAAATTGTACTTTTTTTTTCTCTGCACTGTCAATCGTCTTGAAAACCGGTATTGAATTTGCTGAGGAGAATAATCTTGGGGGTTGGAGAGATGGCTCAGCAGTTAAGAGCACTGGCTGCTCTTGCCTGCTCTTCTAGAGGACTCAGGTTCAATTCCAGCACCCACGCGGTGGCTCACAACTGTCTGTGACTCTGGTTCCAAGAGCTCCGTGCACTGTACACAGGTGATGCACAGACAAAATACAGTCATACACATAATTTTAAAAAAGTGCTGGGCAGTGGTGGCGCACACCTTTAATTCCAGCACTCGGGAGGCAGAGGCAGGAGGATCTCTGATTTTGAGGCCAGCCTGGTCTACAGAGTGAGTTTCAGGACAGCCTCCAAAACAATACAGAGAAACCCTGTTTTGAAACCCCCCCTCCACAAAAAAAAAAGAATGATATTGTTATGGCATCCTATAACTATCCCGTCTTTATCATTCCAATGACTGAATTTATATTTTATAAATCAACTGGAGGACATTTAAAACCACTCTTGTAGGACTTAATCCTAGTACTTGGCATGTGGAGGGTTATGTTCTATCTTTAACATCTGAAGTTTGCACTGCTCAAACTGAACTGTTTGCTTCAGGAATGATGTAGGTGACCTCATGGGCAAAGCTGGGGACAGGAAGTGGGCTGGCCTGTGCAGCAGGGCATAAAGGTAATGACAGCTGGAATACCTGCAGTGTGAGTGTGCGAGCGCGTGTGTTTAAGTGTGGATGTGTGTGAGCATATATATTAGTGTGTATGAGTGTGTGTGAGTGTGAGCATGTATATGAGTGTGTATGAGTGTATATATGGTTTGTATGAGTGTGTATGAGCGTGAGTGTATATGAGTGTGAGCATATATATGAATGTGTATATGAGTGTGATTGGAGTGTGTATGAGTGTGAGCATATATATGAGTGTGTGTATAAGTGTGAGGATGTATGAGTGTGCGCATATGAGTGTGTGTATGAGTGTGGATGTGTGTGAGCATATATATGAGTGTGTGTATAAGTGTGAGTGTGTATGAGTGTGGATGTGTGTGAGCATATATATGAATGTGTGTGTATGAGTGAGTGTGAGTGTGTGTATGAGTGTGTGTGTGCACATGACTGTGTGTGCTGAGAACATGCATATGTATGGAGGCCAGAAATTGATGCTGGATATTTTTCTCATGCCTCTCCTTATTTTTTGAGATGGAGGTCACCCACTGGATTGACCCTGGAAGTCACCCACTGGGATACGGTGGCTGGCCAAAGAGCCCCAGAGCCCTACCCGTCTTTCTCTGCCTCTCCAGTGCTGGGATTCCACAGGCTGCACCCAGCTGTCAGTGTGGGTGCCGTGGGTCTGAACTCAGGACCCTGTGCTAGTGTCGCAGGCATTTACTGACTGAGCCTCTGCACGCCTTTCTAGTCGAAGATTCAAATTTCTTCCCCAGCAAATATAAGTACATATAATGTATAAATATCACATATGTGCTATTGTAAATAACTATAAGATTAGTTATTGCAAGCATCTGCCTGGCAGAACACATTTTTGTGATATGATAAATGTTTTCCCCACTGTTTTTTTTTTTTTTTTTTTTGGTTTTTCGAGACAGGGTTTCTCTGTATTGTTTTGGAGGTTGTCCTGGAACTTGCTCTGTAGACCAGGCTGGCCTTGAACTCACAGAGATGCACCTGCCTCTGCCTCCCGAGTGCTGGGATTAAATGCGTGCACCACCAACGCCTGGCTCCTTCCCCATGTTTTAATGCATAATGGGCAGGTTATTTTCTTCTTGCCAAAGGAACCAAAAGACCTGGCACCACACAGCTGCATTGGACCTTTAGAGATGTTTGCATAGCAAAAATTAGCATGATTTTTTGTTCGTTTGAGGAACAAACGAACTAATGTCGCCCCGGCTGGTCTCAAACTCTCTATGTATCCAAAGATGGCCTTCAACTCTCGATCCTCCTGCCTCCAACCTCCCTAGGGCCAATTTATAAGGTGTGGGGCTTCACCCCTGCTGAGAACTCCGCTCACTGAGCTACACTGTCTATACCAGTCAGGTACAGTCTGACTATTTGAGTGTTAGACATTTTAGGGCAAGCTTTCATTTTGTTCCGCGTAGTCTGCCAAATTCTGTCTAAAGCAAAGCGAACCATCTAGAAGTCTAAAATTAGACACCACGGACATGTCTTCTTTCATGAGACCTATTATAAGTAGATAATTGTGTATGAAAATTAAAGTTGCAGTGGTAATAAGAACTGAAAATGAACTAACCAAGTAATTCTAACTCATCAGCAACAAAAGGCCAGAGAGATTGCTGCTTTATGGGTCATGAAAACAAAATCCCAAAAGTAAAAGTGGATTCTCCGGTTACATAATATTTTGGAAGGTTACTGGAGTTGCTGAAGATTAGTGGCATTCACAGTTATTATTTCAGACGCCCTTGCGATGTTCTGAAGTCTGAAGCAGGGTGCGGCTAGGAGGTCAGTTTTCACTCACAGAAAACACAGGCACGAGGATCTTACAAGAAATCTTAGGATAACTGTAAAATCAACTGTGAGTCCTATTAGTAACTTAAAGATGAAAATGTTTGACAGCGCAACAGAGGTAACTAGAGGGAAATGAGATGTGGGGCGTGGTGGGAGAAATTTAACTTTCGAAACTTCACGGCTTTACACGCACTTGGATCGGAAAGTTTCTTGGTACTATTGTGTTTTTGAGGAATGGGTCTAGGCGGTGAGCCAGAACAGGGAACAGAAGATGAGAGAAAACTGGAGTCAGTGCCCGCGGGCTCAGGCCCAGAAAGGCGGAGAGGAAGGCGGCATGCAAGAGCAGGAAGGAAGCTGAGAGACTTGGACCAACTCGAGATGCTAGATCCTTTGAGAGTGGGCAGCTAGAGACACATATGGGTATAGTGATGAGATTTTCAAAATTTGTTTGTGGTGTGGTCGTAGACATTGAGATTTGGTATGGTTTCGAAGCTTTCACCAGATAGCTTATCACGGAAAAGAAAAAGGTAAGACAGAAAGGATCTGTGATCCGGATTTGGTTCGCAATCTGCCTCTACAGCATCAGAATGGCTGGAGACATGAATATTGATTACTAAGTGCTGCCTAATCTGCATAAAGTCATTTTATTCGTCTGTGCCTGGGGGAACCCAGTGCAGCAGGGACAGACACCTCTATGACGCAATCAGGAAACTGGGATTAATGACAGTCACATCTTTGAGTAGCAAAATGTGTCTTACGACAGATAAACTCCTTGAAAGTGTCAAACGCACCTTAGATGACATGGCATAGGCCCATTGTTTAGTTCTGTAAGGGAGGGGACATTGAACGAGGCACGTTAGTGTTTTTGTTGAGTGTCGAGCTTACTTTGTTTCTTTGAACATGACAGACATGAACTGTCCGGCTCTCCCAGGTCTGAACCCCCAGGTTTCAATGTGATGGCTGAAGATCTTTGTGACTCGCTACTTTGTTTTTCTGTGTTTCTTCTCACAGTAGGGGCAGCGGGTTCTCCGGGTTCCCCACCTTCAGGTATATCAGAATGGCCGCAGGAATTTCCCCGCTCTGTATTTGAGCACTGATCTCTGTGGAAAGGGTTCTCAGGAGCCCTGGGGGCACAGGTGCCTCTTCATAGCATCTGAAGTAAGGATGATATGGGATGGGGCACTTCCTCAGCACACCTGAGCAGCGGGTTTGATCGATCACCAGGGGTCAGCAACAAAAATCTCCCAGCAGACTCTTCCGCTGTCCAACTGCCTTAAGAGGTTCATATGTGCTTTCTGAACAGTTGAGATGCCCTACGTTTGGCGTACATTATGTTAAAATCAGAAAGAAACCCTGCTTTGAAGTATAATGGATAGAACTCTAGCACTAAGTGTGCGAGCAGCCTGGAGAAACCTAGGCAACCTCGCCTCTAACAATCGCTCATCCCTGGGCGATCTGTTTCAGTTCGGGCTTCCTGCTGAACTGGAAAGCCCTGTGCTTCTGTCTCTTGGAGGACCCTCGCCAGACAAATGGTCATCTGAGCATGAGCAAGCTTCCCTTTTCACTATCTCGACGTTGATGAAGCACACGGAACCGTGCAGTTGGGAAAGTCAGTCTTTCCAAGTCTGTCCTGTGGAAATTCCTTCTTTTCTCTGCAGTCACCATCATCCATCGTCCTTCTGTTCAATTTCTAGCACTTTATTGATTGCCTTTTCAGAGTTTTTTTTTTGTTTTTGTTTTTGAGACAGGGTCTTGCTACTTAGCCCAGGATGGCTTAGCATCCTCTATCTTCTTGCCTCAGTCCCTGGAGTTCTGGATTAGGGGAGTACAGCACAGATCTGGCCCCTTTCCCGTCTTTACATGTCTTAACAGTGTTAGGACTGTTGAGTGACTTACAGTTATTCTGCTCCTCAATTCTGTATTTGCTCTGCGCTGGAATTTCATCTTCTGGACTTCCTGGGCGAGTTGTTCTTGTTCTTGTCCTGTGTACACAGCGTTTGTTTGGATCCATCCAAACGCTCACTGATTTGTCTCTAATGTGTCTGCTCTTATTCGAGGCCCACGTCCTCTGACAAGATTCTCGCAGGAAGGCTCCCTCGCCGGTGAGGTCCTGGAACGCCCTCAGTGTCTGTGCCTCTGTCACACAGGTCCGTTTCGTTGGCAGCTGTTTCTCTCATACTTTGGAGAAGGCATGTCATCCACGTCTGCCTTCTGCTGCTGCTTTGGCTGTCAGCTTAGGGTTCTTTGTAGGCAAATCATTCCTTTTTTGCTCTTGACACTTTGAAATTTCCCCAGACATGTCAACACATGAACTTGGTTTTGTTTCTTCTGTTTGGAGCTCAGTGTGCATCTGGGATGTTCTACGACAAATCTCATTTCCTGCAAGCTTCCCACCAGGACAGCCCAGGGCTGAGGCACATGTGTGTGTGTGTGTGTGTGTGTGTGTGTGTGTGTGTGTATGTAGGAATCCTGTGCCTGTCGCTGCCCAGAAGCACACACCGTGTCAACGTCTGCGTGTGAAGAATCGCAAA